TCAGAAAGAAGCCATGTATTTTCCATACTTATGCTAAGTAATCATTGTTCATGTAAAGTATATTACTACATAAATATATCGTTGTTATCTACTTGCGAGTTTTATGACCATACTAAACTTGATATGGCGCGAATCGGGCACCAGTATCCTTTATGAATTTGTCACCCGTAGACTTGCCGGTCCTACTGTAGCTAGCAGAAAGGTGCGGGATAGTCAGTCCCGTATAGATCTATACACAAAAATCACGTTCTCCCTCGAGGAGACTCTGGATCATAAGGGGTAGTCCTCCACTTAGTTATGTTTGTAAGCGCCCAAGGACGTGTCTCCAACTAGATTAACGACTTTACAAGTAATAATACGTGAAAACCTTTTTATAAATAACTGAGAAATTTATAAAAGATGTATGTATGTATATGTATCACCATGTATTGAATTCCCAAACTATACCTATTATAGTTTGTGTGTATGTATATGTATAATCATGTATTGAATTCTCAAACTATACCTATTATAGTTTGTGTGTATGTATATGTATAACCTTGTATTGATCTGAAAACTATATGATTATGCTTGTAAGTTGAAAACGTCCCTTATGCTCAGCATATTACAAAAGGGATAAAATATCTAAATATTTTGTAAACGTATAGAAACTGTATGATTGTATCAATTGCATCCAGTTTAAGTTTATTGAAATCCTTTTATATAAATTTCATAAAATCATTTATATTTGGCTTGTATTCCCCCCTGAAAACATTAAAAATCTTGGAAAGATGTAGGGGTATGAACTCACCTCGAGTGAGTGGTTTGTATGAAAGATCGGAATGAGATGCTGAGTGTCAAGTGAAGCCTCGAACACAATTGGATCCTATTTAGCATGTAATAACACATATATGAATCAAATTAGGGTATTTCACTACTAGACATTAGGGGTGGCAACTCTCGACCCAACCCGTAACCCGACACTGACCCAACCCGACACTATACCTATTATAGTTTGTGTGTATGTATATGTATAACCTTGTATTGATCTGAAAACTATATGATTATGCTTGTAAGTTGAAAACGTCCCTTATGCTCAGCATATTACAAAAGGGATAAAATATCTAAATATTTTGTAAACGTATAGAAACTGTATGATTGTATCAATTGCATCCGGTTTAAGTTTATTGAAATCCTTTTGTATAAATTTCATAAAATCATTTATATTTGGCTTGTATTCCCCCCTGAAAACATTAAAAATCTTGGAAAGATGTAGGGGTATGAACTCACCTCGAGTGAGTGGTTTGTATGAAAGATCGGAATGAGATGCTGAGTGTCAAGTGAAGCCTCGAACACAATTGGATCCTATTTAGCATGTAATAACACATATATGAATCAAATTAGGGTATTTCACTACTAGACATTAGGGGTGGCAACTCTCGACCCAACCCGTAACCCGACACTGACCCAACCCGAAAATAAACGGGTTTGGGTTGAGATTTTTGACCCGCCAACCCACCAACCCGCTAACCCGCCAACCCATTTATTTCATGGGTTGGGTTGGGTTGCCTATTTGGGTTCGCGGGTCAACCCGCCAACCCATATATATATATATATATATATATATATATATATATATATATATATATATATATATATATATATATATATATATATATATTATTACATTTAAAAAAGTAGATATATATTTAATTATTAATGACATCTAATTTCCTTTCATATTCGTAATATTATGTATCATTGTATTCCTTCCGTATTCGTATGTGGCTAGTTTGCGTTTGCGATGTCGTAATCAAAAAAGAAAACACACATGTAATCATTTTTAGATATTCATGAGTCATGAATGAAGAACACATCCACCATACCACCACTAGCCAGCAACCGCTCCTCACGTCCTCACCCCTTCACCCGTTCATCGCCGATTCTCCGGTTGCCTACTATCCCTCGCCTACATGCCGTCAACTCATCGGCTACTCAACTCACACACCACCAACCGACGGGAGAATAGTCGAAAAACACACAAATTGACCACTCTCACTCACTTGCTTATTTTTCTATTTTATTTGGATATTAAAGATTTTTATGACTTTATGTTGGAAACCGGTTTCTTGATTTTAATGACTTTAATCACTTTATGACTTTGTGTTGAAACAACCTCTTTTTTTTTTAAATGTGTAGCTTATTTATTAAACGGGTTATGCGGGTTGGGTTCAACCCATTAACATGTGAACCCGCGAACCCATATACTTAAACGGGTTATATGGGTTGGGTTGGGTTGAGGTTTTCAACCCGTCAACCCGTGACCCGCCAACCCGCCAACCCATATATTATATGGGTTGGGTTGAGTTTATGTTTTCTGACCCGCCAACCCACCAACCCGTGACCCGTCAACCCGAACCCAACCCAATTGCCAGGCCTACTAGACATGATAGGAAACCACCCTAGGGACTTGGAAACACTTGAACTAAGTGTTAAAATCATATGTGATTAGATGAGGGAGGTGTGCGGCCACACTAAGGGTGTGTACGGCCATGGGTGTACGGCCCATGAGTGTACGGCCGTACACTCATGAAGAAGTGTGTGTTTGAGGTGTTTTTACGGTCCTAACTCGCATCAAGGAAGTGTTCTAGGTCCTATGCTTAGTTGTAATGCAAGTTTGAGGCCAATAATGATCATCAAAGTGGGTTTACGGCCCTATGGGGTGTGTACGGCCGTACAAGGGGTGTGCAGCCGTACACCCTTCATGTTCATGCTAAATTTGTCGATGTTAAGGAGAACCAAGGCTAGGATCAAATGTTTAGCATGTCCAACTAGGTGATAGGGGCTAAACTCTCACTTTGGAGGGCCTTTAAGGTGTGTACGGCCAACCTTATGAAGGTGTCGGCCGTACTCCTTCAAAGGATGAAGAACATGTTGAAACTTTGAAGAATTAAGGCTTAAATCAAGAGGTCTTTCAAGCTAAAGAATGGAATACTTACGTTTTTGAAGCCTTGGAGGGTTCACGGTTGAAGAAGCTTGAGAGAAAATGGAGTGGTGTGCAGCCAAGGGAAGAATGGAATGAAGGAAGTGAGGTCTACTCATATATATAGGGGTAGGTGACCCACCACCTAGAGTGTGCGGCCATGAGGGGGTGTACGTCCGTACACCCCATGTGGACGGCCGTACACTCCTCCTGAAGGAGTGTATGGCCCGAAATGCTACTTTACGACTTTGATAACTCATCCCTAAACTCAACCTTGGTTGTACTTAAGCTTAGAACACTTAAACGAACCCTCAAACAGTGCTAAAAGGTAACAGAAACGAGTCTGACTTTGATTAAATTGAATGGTTTATACAAAAGAGAAATTTCGGGTTGTCACAAAAATGGCCAAATGGGCGAGTACGCTGGGAGTACAAGCATATACGCTTAGCGTACAAGCCCTAAAGCGAGTATGATGCGCGTACGTGCTGAGTACGCCCCGCGTACTCAGCCAGTTGGGCTTCGAATGTTTTGGGCTTCGGTTTGTGCTACATTTGGACTTAGATGCTTAGGGCCTTGTTGGGCCATCAAGTTTTTGGGCTGATGCCTGTTTTGGGTTCTCTTGGGAAAGGCCCATGAAAGGAATTTGGGTTCAATTTAGAAAATTGTGCCTTGATGATTATTTTGGTAATTGGGCTTTTTGGATTGTAGGTTTGGGCCTTAGTCTTGGACCAAACGAGGGTAAAATGGTCTTTTTACCTTAATTTTGGACTGATGGTTATGGATTGGAATCCAATTGTTAATTGGATGTTAATTGAGATTGATAGCTCGGGGATTTGTCAGACCATCAGCCATAGATTTATTCGTGTGATTCAGCAGTTCGAGGTGAGTTTCCTCACTGTATTTAGCGGGTCGAAGGCACCAATGTCGGCTCATGATCTGTTATGTTAGGATACTAGATGTATGTGTGACTCTTGTATGTGTATGTGCTTGTATGCTTACGGGGCGGGGCCCGATGGTTATTATGTATGTTGTGATCAATTATGCATATATGATTTGTATGTGGGCGGGGCCCGTTACACTCTTTCGGCGGGGGCCACTATGTGTTATTATGTATGGTATGTGGCATTTTGGGGAACTCACTAAGCTTTGTGTTTACGGTTTTTAGTTTATGTTTCAGGTACTTCCAGTTCCAAAGGGAAGAGCTCGGGATGATTGCAGAGCACACACCACCTTGTTCTGAATTTTCTTGATTTACTCTCATATGATGTGATGATTAATACATATGTTTTACCTGAATTTTTACGATGATGTTTTGGGATAATGGTTTTATTAATTTAATCTATTGCACTTTGTTATGATATTTATTAGCATGATAAGATTCTAATAAATTATCCATTTCTCGATCTTTTAGAAAAAGATGTTCTAATTGGATTACCATCTACGACTGTGGTATTCTATTTTGTTGATTAAGCGATCTATGATTTGGCTAGGATGGTTTTTAAGGATTATGTCTGGCCTGATAATTGTTCATGCCATCAAAAAATACATCCAACAAAAAGTGAAAGACGATTTTTTAAGTTAATACCCTCATTTAACTTTAAATGATCTTTTTTCAACCTTGATGGCATGTAACAGAGTTTTGGCTGAAATTTTCAATTTTGTCGGCATGTAACAGGTTACGACTTAAATAATGATATTAGATATTTAGGCAATCATGTTTTCTTCGGTTCTTAGATTATTTTGCAGAAAGTTGTACAATTTGGTATTATTGATCTCACAAAAGACAAGTCTCATGAAACATCCCAAAAATACAGACCAATTTTTTTAAAAAAAATCATTTATAGTAAAACCATAAGTCATCCATCATCATAAAGAAAACCATAAGTCATCCATCATCATAAAGAAAACCATAAATCATGTATCTCAGAACATCGTGTCAAATACTGTATCAAAATCATATGAGAAAAATATCAGAGTCTAAACATCCCAGGCTAAACTGTGGTGTGTGTCATGCGATCATCCCGAGCCCTTCCCCTTGCTAGTGGAAGTACCTGAAACCAAAACTGAAAAACTGTAAGTACGAAGCTTAGTGAGTCTCCCCAAACTACCACATACCATACACATAACATAACTTTGGGACTCCACCCAGCTACATCGGGACGAACCCGACATCGGCTTACCCAGCATCGGGCCCCGCCCGACATCCGACAGCATCGGGCATCGGACCCCGTCCGACATCGGGCTTACCCCAACATACATACATCATAGCATAAAAAATAACATAAGCATATAACATGAGTATATAAACATTCATCGGGCTTGCCCCGACATCGGACCAGAGTCCGGTACACAATACACATAACATATAGACTAGCATACATCGGGCTTGCCCAGGCATCGGATCGAAGCCCGGAACACATAACCTATAGGCTAACATACATCAGGCTTGCCCCGACATCGGACCAAAGCCCGGAACACATAACACATAACATGCAAGAATCACAAAGACATCAAGCATACATAAACATTCCTCGGGACCGCCTCGACATCGGATCGTAATCCGGAAAGCATATAACCTACATCGGGCCATGCCTGGCATCGGGCCGTAGCCCGGAACTACTAACATCTAAACGGGCCGGCATTGTGGCCTTAGACCCATTCCTACTGGAGAAAACTCACCTCGCAAAGCTGTCTGCAAAAACTCGCGGTGAGGAATATCTGATAGCTGCTCCAACGACTCCCCGGCTATCAATATCACAATAATACTTAGTCAAAATCTGATAATCCTGCTCAGGGTAAAATGACCATTTTACCCCTGGTCAAAGTCAACATCCTCGTCAAAGTCAAAGTCAAGGTCAACTCCCAGTCAACCCCAAGTCGTCGAGTCTTCTCCCAGCTCGGCAAGTTCATGAACAACTCATACCCGTGGTCAACTAAGTCAACTCGTCGAGTCCCTTCCCAAAGTCGTCGAGTCCCTTCCCAAAGTCGTCGAGTCCTTCCTGTCAAAACATCGAGACATATCGACTTCAACTCGTCGAGTCCCTCCTTGGACTCGTCGAGTTCTTCAGCTTCCGAATCCTAATCTTGTCCAACTCACTGAGTCATCTCCTAAACTCAATGGTTTCACTTACAACCAGAAAAGGAGTTAGGGTTCATGACCCGACCCGCCGAGTCCAAGAACAACTCGTCGAGTCCTCCATGTGACATATGTGACATCCCCTAATTTCTCGGCCAGAAAAGACCGATTTAATTTATGCTTTTAAAATAAAATCAGAGAAATCCTTTTAAAAGATGTTGCGGAATTGGTCCCCAAAACAAAACATGATAAAAGTTTATCAAAACCTTTCTTTAAGAAATATATAATTTCCTTTTATATCAAAACATTGGGATGTCATGTTCCGATACAGATCAAAAGCATAAACAAGACATTATAAGCCTTACAACGGTTATTTACAACTACTGACCTATAATCCAAAAATCTCTCATCATCATCCGACTATGCTCGGGGTCCACTACCTGTAATAATAAAAAGTTGAGTGGGTCAGGCTTGGGAGCCTGGTGAGCATATAGGGTTTTCAACCCACAATAAATAAATTTATTATGCTTAAACATCAAACAATCAACCAAATTACCCCAACCCCATTATCTTATTTATTTCTTAAGGATTTACCCTAAGAATCAACTATCACTCATTCCTAAGGATTCATCCTAAGGAATAGGCACGAAGTCACATCGTCGCCAGAGTTTATACAACATACACTAAGTCCATAGCTGCCAGGGTTTATACAACATATGCTAAGTCCATAGCTCTTATTTATCGACATTATTATTCACGGGAATCCCCCCTGCAATACATGTCAATGGGTTTTTAGAGTACAACTGATGAACATATAGTTCACACACTTACAGGTTGCGAGCCTGCTAATGTTCCACAGATCATCTAGAATAGTCCATGATTGTCATTCATACTCTGTTGAATGACGGGGGCCAACGTTTGGGTAAGTGATTCTCTCATAATTCACCACTCACCCTCAACTCATGATCTATATCACTGATCATCTCATTTATCCAACTCATCTTACATCACACACCCACTATTTCATCTACCCATGTTTTACCCAACATTTTTGTAGATAAAAATATGTATACAGTTTAAATTATTTAAAAACTTGTATAAATCATTCCTTCAACATCCATCTCAAATAAACAAACAATATATATTCACACAACACGTATTTTATATAAAATACTTCATATCTATGTGTAAGGTGAAAGTAACTACACACTCACATGATTTGATGATAATCGGGCAGCACTTCGTTTCCTAAAACGATCATTTCTAATAAAACCAGGAGTTTTATTGAGAAACCGGGCTCTGCGAGGGTTGGGCTTCAAAACCGAAAAGATAAATTTCTCGGGCTTCTCGGGCACTTTGAGACGTGTTTCGGGTGTTTGGTATGATACCGGGGCTTTGGGGGAAGTTGGAATGAAAGAAATATTGAAAGAGGGATGAAAATTGACAAATTTCCAAAGTATCCCCGGGAGGTCTCGCACCCTTCTATTTATAGGGGCGAGGCTTCTGATCGGACGGCTGAGAGGCTTCCAGGTGGCAGCAGATCTGAAGAGGAGTCACATGGGTCGCACGTGCGAGGGTCCTGCTGTAGGCTTCTGATTGGACCGAAGTCTAGGTCCGAGGTTCGGATCCGAAGCAAGAGGGAATGGAGACAGGTGGTGCGAAGGTCGGACACGCGGCAGGTGGTGCGAGGCTCGGACGAGGCTGCACACGCGTCACTCCTCGGATGCGCCACAGCTTCGGATGACTCAGCAAATTTCGGACACGTGGCACGCATGGAGCGAAGGTGACGTGGCCGAAGCATGACTATGCGAATTTTCTCGATTTTTGTGCAAAAACTTCTAAAATCCATAACTTTCGCATACGAGCTCCGTTTTTGACGTTCTTTATATGCACGTGTAGGTAAAATTACGCTCTACAACTTTCGTTTAGACTTTGTCGGCTAATTTTGAATTTAATTTTTATATTATTATTTTTAACAGACCGGGACAGGGAATCCGTTAAAAATTCATAACTTCTTCATCCGACGTCCGTTTTCGTCTGTCTTTTTACCGTTGTACTACTATTGACGAGACCTTCGATTCTCGTTTAGGTTGTGTTGGCTAAAAATCACTCGATCTAAAATTCGAGTTTTTAGCTGTCTACTGCTAAGCTGAAACTTAGAAAAATCATAACTTCCTCATACGAAGTCAGATTTGGACGTTCTTTTTATACATACTCTCGGTTTAACGAACACTACGACTTTCGTTTAGATCATTAAGACTAAAAAGTAGTTTATCAAAAACTCACTTTTTACGACATTCGGCACCGTGCCGGTTTTGTCGCGAAACTTCGACAGGTCATAACTTCTTCGTTATAACTCGGATTTCGGTATTCTTTATATATCCGTAATCCTTGTCACAACCACTACAACTTTCTTAATAGATATCGGCTTTATCTAATATTTATTTTCAACGCTCATTTTTATTCTTAATTAATTAAATCCTAGTAATTAAGCATAAAACACATAATTCACATAATTTCTTTTTCATTTCTTCAAAATGAGTTACAAAGGTTATAACTATCACATCAATATTAATGCCTAGCCTAGAAACACGGACATTACAACATATCCATTCAGTCGATTCTAATTCATTCCAACGCTTCTAACTTATAGATCTGGACTCCTTAGACTAGCATTACACGTAAAGTTGCTAACTTTACGTGCATGCATGGTGTTATGAAGCTAAAACAGGGTCATGACTGAATAAAGGTGGCAACTTTGAGCTTCTAAAGCTCAAGAGTACCCAAATCTGAAATCCTTACATCCCCAAAGGTCCAAAACTCGGAATGACCTGGGAAATTGCCCAAAATGACAACATACAAGCTAAGAAGGAGATCTAAGTGAATAGCAGCCAATGTATAAGCTTTATACCATGGTACTGTCTGATGGATGAGATTGAAGGAAAAAATTAGATACATCCTTTATGCGTGAATGGAGTGGTGTTGACAGGAATGGGGAAAGTGGAACCAGAAAATTCAGAGGATATGAGAGAAACGTAAGTCTGATTAGTCTCTCGGTTCCCTGTAATAAATGTTGTTTAGGCCACGTTATAAGATAAATAACCCAACACTGTCTCCCTCCTACTCCCGGAATAGGTGGTTTGTTGGGTGTTGCATCCAATTGAGACCCGCCCGCTGGCTGACAAACATCAGCCATCTAATTGTAATTGTAATCAGATCCGATCCGTTCAAAAATTTATGATCTAAATTACGCCAAATCAGTTATCATCTGACTAGATCTATCTATTCAATAAAAGCAGAGACAATTTGAAAAGGCCAAGTCTTTTTTGTGTTTTATAAAGATAGCGACATGTCCACAATGTGACGTTTGATGGATAATATCATTGTTTTGCAACTTTTTTATGATGACCAAATAAGTAACTTATGAGAATATAATTCTGTCAAAGATCAACACGACATCTTGTGGTATTAGTAAGCCTCTTGTAAACAAGCACCAGCCTCAGTTATGATACACAATTTAACAAAAATTTACCCCAAGTCACCTGCCATTGTTATCCTTGTGTAGTCGGGGAGGGGGATTCGTTAACCTCCTTTCTAATGGTGTTTTCCTCTTACTCACAACAAAACGATTCACCCCTTTCCGCATCGGCATAATCTCCGGAAAGTCTTCATCCGGAATTTGACTCAATTCCGATATATCTTTAATCTGTGCAACACGTCGGAACCATCTTTCCGCTTTCGCCTCTTCTGACATATCCAAAGGATCCGTTTCCTTCACAGCCGACCCCTCCAAGCTTTTTCCATTCCACCCGTTTCTAACCTCTTCATTTTCTTGATTCCGGGGGGGTTCTCGCACAAGATTAGTGTCAGGAGCTTCATCCGTCGGAATTGTGCTTTCCGATACCTCCTTGCTGTTGTCTTTCTTGGAAAAATAATCGGGTGGAAATGGAACAAATGGAACGAAGTTGGTGTTGCTTCCTTTCTCCATGGATTCTTGTTTATATTTAGGGGAAGTTAATGATCGATCTTTTTTCTTGCTAACCACAAACCGGTTTTCTCCTTTACGGAGTGGCATAATCTCGGGAAAGTCTTCATCTGCGATAACACTCGGCAAGTCCGTGGCATCATGCAACTCCGCCACCTTACTGAACCATTTCTCTGATTTCTCTTCTTCAACCGTATCTTTAATTTGACTTTTAATGTTAGATGCCGGTTTTTTTTCTTCATCAGGCTTTTTAGCAAACATATCGGCTGGTAACGGGACAAATGGGGCGTAACCAGATTTGGTTCCATTTGGAACTTCTTTTTTGATATCTTGTACGGATGTTTTCATCTGCCCAATGGGTTCACCTGATCGACTGCATTCGCATTTTAAGCACACCACATTCCTTCCATGATTGAAAAAATTACATCTGGAAAGGAAAGAAAGTTCAACCCTTTCAATATTATAGAATATGCAATAAGAATTTTAGTAGAGGTGAGGAAATGTAGTTAGATGATTACTCCTGAATTGCTTGATCAAACAAGACAAGAAATGCAACTTACTTTGAGCATAGCCATTCACCTCTCTTCATTGTTGGTCCAATCTCATTATATTTCGCCACAGTGGGCAGGCTCAAAGCTGCCCCGCTACTGTTAAACTTAGCCATCTCTCTCAACAAATTTCGGGCAGATGATTCAGTAGCCTCCCTAATTTTTCTTTCAGGATATATAATAGGATTGCTTGCATAACTCAATATGTACTTCATCAAGTCCACACTTGTTGCTTCATTTGATTCGTCCCCCTGCAATTGTTGAAAAAATATGCATTTCATATATAAATTGATGAACCACACCCAAAATCACATCCATGTAGTGTCAGTTCTAGCAATATAGTTTTGACTGATCAACCACAATCAACCAGATACAAACCTGTAAGAAAGATCTCATTTTTCTCTCAGTTTCAAGGGAACTTTTGAAAAGGAATGGAGACCCTTCGTCTATTAGCACCTTGATATCATCCTTCGGAAGGCACCTGGACACAAAAATCATATGAATGATTTGTTGAGAAATAATACAAATTGAAGGTGGTGTTTGGATATGCGTTTTTAAAGAAATGATCAAATTACTATTTCGAGAACTGTTCGAAATTGGGTGAGGAAGAATAAATGAAGTGATAAGTATCGTGAAGAGGAGACTACAAACCCTAATATTTCAGGCCTATCATGTGCAAAACGCAAACGGGAACACGCAGCATCCAGAAACTCCATTGATAAACTCTCATTTGGCACAAATTCCTCCTTGATATTCCTATTTACGTCGAAAGCACCGGACATGGATATAGATTCGAGAAGGAGTGACCATTCCGGCCACGGGTGGGACGGTGAAACGAGATAGGCGTCGGCGGGAACATGATTTTTCTCTTGCAGAGTGGATTGAGTGTAAAATTGTTGAGAGGATTTGATCGGAAACAGTGAGTTAGCGCGATAGGGGAGGAGGAGGTGGTGAGGGACGGTGGAGAGGGGAGGCAGTGGACAACTAAGAGAGTGGCGGTGAGTTACACAGAGGAGAGTAGACGGTCGGTGATGGATAGGAGAGATTGGTCCGTTTAAGAGAATGGAAAGTCTTGAAGAAGCCCCGAACATTTGATCGGAGAAACGGGAACCACCGACGACGACCATGTTTGGATTGGCCACCGGAGAAGATGTGGCTTTAAACGCATCAAAGACTACCAGATATTGTGTTTGAACACCGTATCTGCAAAATACCGCTTTTACCCCTCTGCCTGGTGAAACTGTTTAAAAAACCGACAAACGAACATTTTTTTTCTTTTTTTATAAAACAAATATTCTAAAAATGATCGGTACCCTCAATATCCTGTCCGAACTACTCTTCAAATTCATAAGAATTTTTTCATTTTTAATTTTTTTTACTTATGTCTGTAAACACATAATTATTTTAATATATTCGGATTATGAATGATATGATCTAGTGATTTCTCATCAATGGTCATGACTATCAATCGAAGTATAGCATGGATATCTAAACTCTCTAACACAACTAAAGTCACAAATTAACATTACCTAACCTTAGGATTTGATCGATCTCTAGTCCTAACAGTTTAATGATATTCGCTCCATATCAGCTTAACGGCCCTCCGGCCGCTTTTTAGACCCTTAAAATCGCAGCTAGGGGGTTTAGTTTCGTTGGGAACGAATTGGGGTTGAAGATATATCATTAGGGGTAATTTTCGTCTCTATTTATAGCTTATAACTGGTCACCACATCGTGGTTGACCGCCACCACATCGTGGTCCTCGTCGAAATCCCGTATTCTCCACGTCAGCCTAATGGTCGCGGACATTCCAATCACCACGTCGTGGTTGGACAAATCATCAAATTAGTATACTAAACAAGTCAAGAATTTCGTAATAAGTTGCAATCTCGAAACCCAAGCGAAAAGATAAACCAAGCAATGTGTATGATCACGAATTCTTGCAAAAAAACAACAAAAACCTAGTAATCAATTTAACAACTTTAACCCCAATGATCATGCAAGTTAAGGGCACTAAATTGATTTTAAAGGTAATTTGGACTCCAAATGATAGAATCTATAGACTACTATTCTTTGGTCAACTCTAGTAATCAAGCAAATATTCTGATTAAATACTGCTCTCTAACACAATTAAACAACTAATTTATCACATATACTAGGATATGGCCAATCCTATCTCTAGCAATTTAATGATCATAAACAACTAGGTAAATCAATTTCATGCAATTAACTGTAGTTTAACTACACAAAACTTGAGACTAGGCAATAAAGATAGAAACTTTAACAAGCTAGGTTTAGATTTATCAAACAATATTTAAAGTAAAAACCAACTTCATCAATCCATCAAATAAGAAATCAACACATAGTATTCAAGAATTCATCTAATCTAAACGAAAGCAATGTCATGTTTTTGTTCCATGATTTCACTAGGATGGGGAAGCCACATATACACTATACATATATTGGCTCAAATAAACATTAAAACTCGCATCGGATCGTCTCACACAACGCTAGCAACCTAGATCTAAATACAACAATATTTTTGTATATAGATTCAATTTTACATTACTATTTCAAATCTTTCTAATAATTTTTTTAAATCTTAGTCAGTTTTTCAATTTTTTTAATCACTAAGCTTGCATTCCTATATTCAACCCCCTACCCCCACACTTATTTGATGCAATGTCCCTATACTTTGTAGACTCTTATTCTCTTAAAATTTTGGCGCCGTTGTCGGGTAACGATTTTTAATTGATTTGGTTTGTTTGATTATTCGTTATTTGTTTTTAATTTTTAGTTTAATTTTATTTTTTTTATTTTATTTGATAACATGTCACTTGTCAGGAAGGGTTTTTTTTTTTGCAGGAATTCGTGATCATACACATTTTTGGTTTATCTTTTCGCTTGGGTTTCGAGATTGCAAGCTATTAGGGAATTCTTGACTTGTTTAGTCTACTACTTTGGTGATTTGTCCAACTCAATCCACGAGGTGTAGTATAGCAAGACGTATCGAGGTGGTTAAGTGGAAGACCGAACTCTTGCTACTCTTGAGTAGTTGGATCAACTATTTTTCTACTTATTAGTTAATGGTGCAGAGAAAACAAATGAAATAGTCTGACGCGTCCTGAAAGTTTTTGTTTTCACAAACCACTTCTTGAATGCAAAAGATTTAATCAACAATTGTAGCTTGATTGCAACGAAGACGAGTGATCGTCATATCATTTTTAGTTATTTTGGAGTGCTTTTATCTTTTTTTTTTTAGTTTTAGTTTGTTTAATTTTGTTTTTCATGTTGATGCTTGTTAGGTGCATTTTGTGCACCTTTTTTGCACACCTTTTAGTCCCTTTTTATGCATCTATTTAACATAGTTATTCTTCATTTTTATTGCATTTCATCATATTCATGTTAGTCTCTAGAACAACCTTTCTTGCACACTTTCATGTTCTTTTCAGGTAAACCAGAGGTTAGAACGCGCTTTGGGAGGTGCCAGGAAGCATTGGTGAAGATTTCGGGATGATCGGACGAAGAACAGAAAAGTTGGAAAAATCAAGTTTGGATTCGGAGTCAGAGGGGTACACGGGTCGTGTTGGATTTACACTGAAAAGTGAGCACGGGGCGTGTTTGACCAAGAAGAAGCTGTTGACCATGCTGAACACGGACCGTGTCAGTTTAGTGCAAATCAACATGGGCCGTGTTGACTGCTGAACATGACCCGTGTCAGTTTAGCCTATTTTGACACGGGCCGTGTTCGACCCAAAAATTGTCTTTTGGCAGTCTTTCCTATTTTTCATATCACGGGAATTGGGTCATTTTTACAAACACACAACATATCAGAGCACATTTTTAGAAGGGATTTCGAAGGTTTTTGCAAGGATTTGATCATTTATCATTTGGAAACATTATTTCTCTTATTTGTAAGTTGTAATTGCACATTATTTTCATCTTTTAACTTGTGATCTTGTTCTAGCCATGTGTGGCTAGAGCCCTAGTTTCTCCAATTTCATGTTTTGACTTCTTGGTAGTGATTTCAATCATATAACATGATGTTTGTTTTCAATTTCTATCTAGTGAATTTGATTTTGCTTTAATCGAATGTTTGATTCTAATTGTGATTCTTATTGGCCATTTGAATTAGGGTTAGGTCATTCAAGTTATCTATTTTGCAAAATCCGTAATTGTTTTATGAAATTGAACAAGTAACAAATACTAAATTGAATTCTTTTGAATAAATTTAGTGTAAATCATTTCACACACTTTTACACTCCCGAGCTTGTGAGAAGTATTGGGTGTTGTTGGGAACATTCACATCAAGCTTAATGCAATCTTTTAATCGAATTCTAAGAGCTTGTTTAGATTAGGTTAGTAAGGTTAGGGTTAATCAAAGAGCTTGTTTTGGTTAATTAATGTGGTGAATGGGAAGTGTTAGAGCTTGTTAACACTTTCAAGTACCAACTTAGATAAAACTGAACAAATATTGTGTCATCTTTGAATCACATTGCTAAGTTGTCATACATGAAGTTGGAGTCCTTACACAATCTGAATTTAATTCACTCATTTAGCTAATTACTTGTTTTTTTAATTTGTTTATTTAATCACTGCATTCAAACTCCCCCTCTTTACTGTTGGTGACCATAGTACCTTGTGCAAAGAGGTATAGACTGATTATCTCGTCTCTCTGTGGATCGACCGTACTTGCCTTGTACTACCTTTTAGTTCAATATAGTGGGATTGTTTTGGAGTATATCGTACCCCTTTATTTGTTGGGTTTGACATGCCTAACAAATTGGCGTCATTGCCGGGGACACGGTGTTACTAATTGTTTATGCCAAGATTTTTGTGAGCAGGTACATTTCTATAGAAAAAAAAGTGTCGCTCAGAAATGAATACTCCTTACATTGAAGACCAACTTTCTGAGCTAGCTCAGTTAGTTATGATGATTGGAAATGACCAAAGTGTGCAACCCACACCTATTCATTGTGATTTCTGCACTCAAAATGGACATCATTCCGATATGTGTCCATATCTACAAGGAGAATGGGAAGAAGTGCAAGAAACGGGAAGCTACTACTGGTCAAACCAATGGAGTTATGATCAACCTCAACATGATCAATGGTGGGAAAGCAACCAAGCTTGGGGAAATAACCAATTCCAAAACCCATCCCAAGCTTAGGGAAATGACCAATACCAACTAACTCCACAGTTCCAACAACCATATCCTCCACCTCCCCACCAACCTGAAACGTCGGGAATGTCCTTAGAAGACATTGTCAAAAGCATTGCCACTACCACCCAAATCTTCCAAGAAACAACAAAAGCTAGCCTCAAAAGATTAGAGCAACAAATTGCAAAACTTACTCAATCTGTGAGTAAAATGGAAGCTCAGAGCGAATTACCATCGTAGACTGATGAGGACCCAAGGCCTATCATTTCTACCATTACCTTTAACGATAGGAAAATTGTTGATGACCCAAGATTGCAATTTGAAGACGAGGAAGAAGAGGAAGAAGTAGAAGTGGATGAGGATGTCAAGGAAACTATAGAGGAGGTGTTGTGTCACACCCCCAAACCAGAATGGCGGAAACATTCGGGGGTGGGTGACTTCACGTAGTATCATAACAGTTGAATATTTGTAAAGAAAGTAAACACAACCATCATAAATATAATTTAAAAGTTACATTGTTGAATACAATACATGTCTCAAAATAAATTACAATATGATGATTTAATAAGTTTTAAGACTGACGTCTTAGCGTCCCTTCTCCAAGTAGTTTTGAAAAAGTAGTTTTGAAAAAGTGTCAACAATTAAGTTGGTGAGTTCATAAGTGTTTTTGTATAAGAATAGTATCCTTTTTAGGGTAAAATAACTAAGTTTGTTCCTAGAAAATCCAATATTTTCCATATATGTGTGGTAGTTTGAAAAAGTTCCAAAAGACTGAATGTATAAGTGTTTTCCATACTTGAAATAGTATAAGTAGATTGATATAAGTATATATAATCACTAAGGCGTTTAACAGCCCCGTAAACCGAGATGTATTAATACCCCATGTGAGTTTTTATAACCGTGCTATTGACCCAGACTTCCTGTAACAACGTTCGTCAGGCGTTGGAATGATATGACGTTTGTCACCCCAGACCTGTCGGTCTAACTGTAGCTAACAGTTTAGGTGCGGGATTGTCAGTCCCATATAGATCTATACACAAATATCACGCTCT